CCTGGGTTGCAGGCTGGGTCTCCAGTTGGGGGCATGTGAAGGACAAGCACACACTGATGTTTCTTTCCCTCTCTCCTTCCCTTCCCCTCTCATTAAATAAAATCTTTTTTAAAAAGTGCCAGAAAAAAACCTGTCAGGGGACAAAATCAAGACTAAGAGATGACCCATATGCTCAAATTACCAGGGATTTAAGATAATTAAAATGAATGTTAAAGTCTATAGTGGAAAAGAGAAAAATATGCATGAACAGATGGGAAATTTCAATAGAAAGATGATCTACGAGTCAGACAGAAATGCTAGAATTAAAAGCAGAAGATAAAACAAGATGCTGTGTCACTGAGGGCTCATCATTAGACTCAACTGCAGCCAGGTAAAAACCAGAGCAGGTCAAAAGGAAGTACCTACAATGAAACACAAAGGGGGTGGGGAGGGAGAGCCAGGGACAGAGAAACAGAGCATCCCAGGCCGGGAACAATAATACCCAACAAGCTAACATAAGTGCAATTGGAATTCCAGCATAACAGAGAAAAAGAATGAAGCAAAGAGATATTTTAAAAGACAACAGCCAAAACATTTCCGAACTTAATGAAGTCTATCAAAACAGAGATCCAGCTCAAAGAACCCCAAGCAGGACAAACACCAAAATATCACCTAAACACAACATATTCAAATCACTAAAAATTAAAGACAAAAATAAAATCTTGAAGGCAGCCCCCCCGCAAAAGAACAAAAACCAAAGACTTCTCATTAGAAACTATGCAAGAAGATTAATCTTCCTTTAAATTACTGAAAGAAAAAGTAATTGTGAATATAATACCTAGCAAAAGATCTTCCCAAAGTGAAAGTTTGCTTTTCAAATAAGTCAAAACTAATTCATTGTTAAGTAGACCTGTGCTATAAGAAATATTAAAGGAGGATTCTGGGCAGAAGGAGCATAGGACTGTATAGTAATTGGAGTCTACATAAAGAAATAAAGAGTTTCCAAAATGGTAAAAGTTCGAGAAAATGTAAAAGGTATTTTTCTGTATTTTCATTCTTTCTAAAAGATAATGCCAATCTAAAGTAAAAACGGTAATAATATATGTTACTGTATGCATGGTCACTAACAATGTGGGTTACTAACACACGTATGTGTGTTACTACACTAATGGTGTAGTCATTTACCTTAACTGTGTGATGACAACAGAATATGGAAGAGGAACCAGACAATGTTTTCCAGGGAATTTTATACTGTACATGTAGTGGTGTGATACTGCTGGAAGGAAAACTGGAAGACATTAAAGGTATGGACTGAAATCTCTAGGCCAAACATAAAACAATTTTAAAGAGAAATATACATAAACCAATATTGGACTGAAAAATAGAATTGTAAAAAATATCCAGTTAATCCAAAAGCAGACAAAAAAAAAAACCTGCATTAAAAACAGATGGAAGGCCCTGGCTGGTGTAGCTTAGTGGATCGAGCACAGGCCTGCGAACCAGAGGATCGCAGTTTGATTCCCAGTCAGGGCACATGCCTGGGTTGCAGGCCGGTTCCCTGCGGGCCAGTTCCTAGCAGGGGATGCATGAGAAGCAACCATACATTGATGTTTCTCTCCCTCTCTCCTTCCCTTCTCCTTCTAAAGATAAATAAATAAAATCTTAAAAAAAAAAAAAAACAGATGAAAGAACTAGAAAGCATCTAGTAAAAAGAGATTTAAATCCAACCACATCAATAACTATATTAAATATAAATAGTCTAAACACATCAATTAGAAGATAGAGCTCTTTAGACTAAACAAAAAAGCAAGACCCATCTATATTTTGTCTATAAGAAAAAAGCCCACTTTTATTAAATATTAAAAAAGAAATGTGTTGAAAGTAGAAAGATGGAGACAGATCTACCCTGCAAACACTAATCAAAAGGGAGCTGGGGTAGACACGTTAACACAGACAAAAATCAGACTGAAGAACGAGAATCAGACTTCAGATCTAACATTATCAGGAAGAAAGAGGGATCGTAAGAGGGTCAATTCATCGAGAAGGCAATCCAAATGTATGTGCACCTGACAACAGACCTTCAAAACTCACCAAACAACCAGACAGGACTGCAGGGAGAAGAAAGCGAATGCACGAAATCACACAAGACTTCACCACCCCTCAGGAATCATCAGCACAGGCAGGCACAGAGTCAGCAGGAACACGGGAAACCTGAACACTGGCAACCGGCCAGGCCTGACTGGCATTAATGCGAGAGCCCCCCACGCCAACAGCATCATGCACGTCACTCCAAGTGCTCAGGGAACACTGACCACCGCAGGCCATGGTCTGGATCACACAGCAAACTTGGGCAAACTGAAATAAGCTGAAATGGCAAAGGATGTCTTCTGACCACAACAGAATTAAACTAGAAATCAATTCCAGAAAGACATCCGGAAAATCCTCAAATATTGAGGAATTAACATATTTCTAAATAACCCATAGATCAAAGAGGAACTCACAAGGGAAAGTAGAAAATATTTTGAATGAAAATAAAAACACTGCATATCAAAAACTACGTGACACATCTAAAACCATGATTAGAGCCCTGGCCAGTGCAGCTCAGTTGGTTGGAGCATCATCCCGTAACTGAAAGGGTGCAGGTTCAATTCCCAGCCAGGGCACATACCTAAGTTACAGGTTCCGTCCCTGGTCCAGGCAAATACAACCCCCAATCCAAGTGCATATGGGAGGCAACCAATCAATACTTCTCTCTCACATCCATGTTTCTCTCTCTAAAAGCAATGAAAAGGCCCTGGCTGGTGTAGCTCAACAGACTGAGCTCGGGCTGTGAACCAAAGGGTCATCAGTTCAATTCCCAGTCAGGGCACATGCCTGGGTTGCACACCATGTGAGAGGCAACCACGCATTGATGTTTCTCTCCCTCTCTTTCTCCCTCTCTTCCCCTCTCTCTAAATAAATAAATAAAATCTTTTAAAAAATTAAAATAAAGTTAAAAATTAAAAGCAATGAAAAAATGTCCTTGGGAGAGGATTAAAAATATAGTAAATAAATCCATGATTACAGAAAAAATTCGAACATTAAAACTTTATTTTGGGTGGTTGAGGGGGTGGTGTGAGCAAAATGGTGAACATGTCAAAAGGTACAAATTTCCACTTAGGAAATAAGTCAGTCCAGGGGATGTAATGTACAGCATGTGACTATGGTTAATCATACTGTTTTGCATATTTGAAAGCTGCTAAGAGAGTAGATCTTAAAAGTTCTGATCAAAGGAAAAACTATTTGTAGCTGTGTGGTGATGGATGTTGCATAGACTTAGTGTGGTGATCATTTCACAATGTACGCAAATATCAAGTTATTATGTTGCACACCTGAAACTAATAGAGTGTTTTGTGTCAATTATAATCTCAATTTTTAAAATGCTTGCTTTTTAGAAAAGCAGTATTTCAAAATCAATTATCTAAATTGCCAGTTTAAAAAACTAAAAAAATAGCCCTGGCTGGTGTGGCTCAGTGGATTGAGTGCTGACCTGCAAACCAAAAGGTTTCCTGTTCGATTCCCAGTAAGAGCACATGCCTGGGTTACAGGCCAGGTCCCCAGTAGGAGGCACACATGAGGCAACCACACATTGATGTTTCCCTTCCTCTCTCACCCTCCCTTCCCTTCTCAAAAATAAATATCTTTAAAAAAATAAAAAACTAGAAAAAGAGCAAATCAATTCATAGTAAGCAAAAGGAATGAAATATAAAAACATGAGCAGAAATTGAAAACAGAAAAATAATAAAGGTCTCTGCAAACAAAAGCTGGATCTTTATGAAGATTAGTAATTGATAAACAACCTCTAACCAGACTGATCCAGAAAAAGAGGACATGAACTATGAACACGATGAATGAAAGAGGGCACACAAAAACAGATCCTACAGGCATTAAAAGATCATTACAACTTCATCTCCATTAATTCGACAGCTTAGGAAATGGATCAGTTCCTTCAAAGATACAAACTACCGAACTTCACTTGAGAAGAAATAAGTTACCTGAATAGTTCTGTATCACCCCTTAAAGAAACTGAATTCCTAGTTAAAAACCCGACAAAGAAATCTCCAGGCCCAGATGGCTTCACTGAGGAAGTCTATCAAAAATTAAAGGAAAAAACAGCAATTCTAAACACACTACTATAGAAAATTTTCCAATTCATTTTATGATGCCAGCTTTGACCTCAATGCTAAAACTGGACAAAAGCATCACTAGAAAACAACAGATCAATACCCACATGACAAAGATGCAAAAATCCTCAAATACTAGCAAATCTCATCCAGCGCTATATTAAAAAAAAAAACACAACTCTTTTAAAGGGTTTAATCATTTTTTAATCCTGACCTGGGATTACTCCAAAAGTCAAGAGGCATTTGATTCCACTCTAAATTAAGTCTTGATGTAAACACACAGTATTATGTCTCTAACTTTTCAAAGTTACTTTAAAAAAAAAAGGCACTGCAGACAGTTTAATTTAGGAAATTAAGAGGAGATTATGCAGAAGTTGAGACTCTACAGAAGAAACTTTAGAGTTAAAAGTAATCTACAGCTTTATGGACACACACTCAACTAAAAGGTATGAACCTATCTTGGTTTCAAATAAAGAAATTTAGATCAAGAGCCCTGGCTGGTGTGGCGCAGTGGACTGAGTGCTGGCCTAAGAACTGCAAGGTTGAAGATTCGATTCCCAGTCAAGGCAAATGCCTGGGCTGCAGGTTCCATCCCCAGTTGGGGGAGTGCAAGAAGCAACCGATAAAAGTTTCTCTCTCGCACTGATGTTTCTCTCCCATTCTCTCTCCCTTCCCTCCTCTCTAAAAAATAAATAAAATCTTAAAAGAAAAAAAAGAAGAAATTTAGATAAACAAAGTTACCAGCCTATACTAAAAAACTCAGTTCAGTTTCCTCAAGGTTTCCAAGATCACGATCCAAAGCATAAACCCTAATCTACCTTCTGAATGTCACATCCACAGTTTGGTTTAATTACTCACCTTCAATCTGGCTAGTATCTGGGCATGGTTTCTTCTTGGACTCTGAGTGTCCGGTTTTCTCATCGACATCCAGGAGAGGAATGTAGTCTGTTTTTCCAACAGTTTCTCCCACAACATCGTCATAGGCCTCTGCCTCCAGGGTGGCTATAAAGTCCCGTTTAATCTCTCCCTCAATCTCTGGAGGTGGTTCTGTCAACGCATCTGCAAGACTGAGGTCGGCCATTCTGCACCACTGCGACTGCCTGGTCAAGGGGGAAAAATGTTGGATATCATGAGCACTGCAAAGGGGAAAACTTTCCTAGAAACCCTTGTCAGATTTTTTAAGAAACAAAAAAAATGAAAATCCAGACATTTAGATCTAGAAGAGACACCTTCATTTTACAGATCAGAAAATTAAAAAGCCCAGTAACTGGCAGTCTTTCCCAAAGTAAACACTTTCTTCTCACATCTGGAAGGTAAACAGAGCAAGTGCCATGCCATCCTTTTCTTTAATGAGAAACATGAAGTATAAAAAAATCTATTTATCCTAGGTTATACCCAGTAAGACTCAAATCACATCTTTTAATTTCAAGTCTTACGACTCTTTCAAATATTCCATATATCTTCATTTCCAAATCATATACCAGAATAATTCTTAAAAGAAAAAACAAAGAGAGGTCAGATTAGATTAGATTCCCATAAAAAAAGACTATATTACCATCAGGCAAATGAAGTCACCTTTCTTGACCAAACACTGAGCACAGGCCTCATCCTGGGTTAGGTCCTGCTTCTCCACCATTCACTAGTGGACTGCCATGCCAATACCACGCTACACTTCAGCCCTACTGGCACGAAAAATACACACGCGTTCTCTGAATTAGCTAAGAGAGGTCATTCCTCTCTGTGGTCATGTATATCACTATCCTTCCAGAATACCAGGTTCTCAATTTTCTAACATAACCTGAAGTTAAGAAGTATAATCTACTACAGGCAAAACTGTAGGTGAACCGCCAAGAAAACATAGAAATAATGTAGTAAAAAGAGCCAAAGGGCCTGCAATCAATTGAACTCCCAGTACATACACAGCACAGTACTCAGGGTGGCACCTCTGCTTTCGAAGAGTCTAGTTGAATAGAGTCTCCCGAGAGACTCCTAGGGGACATGTGAGCTTGACCGGGTAAACGCGCATCAATCAGCAATCTTTTAGTTGTATGAAGTAACGGCCACTGCTCCTGTCTGCCCAGAAATGTGTTCTGTCATCTCTTCTCCCCCGCATTTACACCAACGCCCCACAGGGTTGGACACATGACTGGAGTTTGGCCAATCAGAAGACAGGACAATGGCTGGAAAGGACCGTTTCAGGATCACATCCTGGAAGGAAGGTCCCGAGTGGCGCTGTTCAGTTGCCCCGATTGTTGTCTTCATTCTCAAGTCTAAGTGAGCAACCTTCCAATCTTCCTTTTACCTAATTTAGTCTATCTATTTCTGTTGATTAAAGAATCTCAACAAATACATAGTCCTTCCCAACCCAAATTTTTAACAGACAAAATGTACTATGAATCAAGACACTTAGCAGTCAAGCTCGCCTTTCAAACTCTCTCCCACTGTCTACCTGTCTCTCCAACAAATTTACTACAGAAAAAGAAACACACAGCAAGGAACACAGTCACTCTATCTTCACTTTTGTCCCCAAACACTTTCCTCCCACTTTTTCCATCCTGTGATACAAATATGAAAGTCATACTTTTTTAATCATTATTTCTTCTCAGTTCCCAAATAAGACCAAGCTGTGAGACTACCACAGCTATAAAATACACACAAAGCAGATGCACCTAGAACCTTGAAAAATCAGAAGCAAACCCACCCCCAGTTCCCAAATCCAATAATTAAGGTTTTGCTGTGTGTTTCAATGTTGTAGAAAGTACAAGAGTGGTGGCATAGAGGCTTAATGCAAGTGGAGACAATACAGCAGGCGAGCACAGACTGTAAGCTCAGTTCTATGACACAGAACGAAGCAGAGAGGGGATAAACCCAGGAGCAAGACTTACTTCCAGGCAGGTGTCCAGAAAAAATCCTGTATATCCAGGACAGAGAATGCTGTCGGGAAGGGGTGAGTCATCTATACATAACGCTTGTTGAAAACATTCACTATATATCTTTTTTTTTTTTTTTTTGAGAGAGAGAGAGAGAGAGAGGGAGGGAGAAAGAGAGGGAGACACATCTATGTAGGAGAGAAACATAGATCGGTTGCCCCTCCTCTGTGCCCCAGCCAGGGACCAGGCCCACAACCCAGGCATTCTCGCTGATTGGTTATCGACCCAGCAACCTTCCGCTCTGTGGGACTCACCCAACTCACTGAGCCACACTGGCCAGGGCTCACTATTTAGTCTTTATACAATTGCAAGTTAAAATACTAAGATTTGGAAATACTCAATTTGTGTAGATTTCGAAATAAAACATTTTCAAAAGAGTAAATGATAAATTTGAGACTGTTTCCATGTGCCTATTTTTTTTTAATCTGCTCAAGTTTGGATTTTATCCCTCTACAAACCCTGTTTTGTTTTTTAAAGATTTTATTTATTTAGTTTAGAGAGGAAGGGAGGGAGAAGGAGAGGAAGAGAAACATCAGTGTGTGGTTGCCGCTCATGTGGCCCCCACTGGGGATCTGGTCTGCAGCCCAGGCATGTGCCCTGACTGGGAATTGAACTAGTGATCCTTTGGTTCGCAGCCCATGCTCAATCCACTGAGCTACAACAGCCAGGGCCCCATGTGCCTATTTTATATCAGGTTTCTTATTTGAAATACCTACCATAATTCCTGATCAAGACTTTTAAATGACGGTCTTTTCAAATACAAAAGGGCAGTAGAAAGAGCTTTTTCTCTGATTCGTTAAAGCAAATGTGATGTTTAAATTTCTCAGGATGATGCTAGTAAGATCCTAAATCATAATCTTTCTTAGTATCTAGTATTTCAAAATAATGACGCTTGCTTCAAGCATACACAGATGTTACACTACTAAGTCTAATAAAATTTGATTTCTGCAGAGGGACCAAACACACTAGTGCCTCATTTACTTTCTCAGAGCTGGATTTCTGCTTTGCAGTCACACACCTTGTCGTCTACTCTAGGCCCGGAAATGTGATCACGTTCCTTTGTATCTTTAAAATGTCAATTAAGTAAAGCCATTTTTTAAAAGTCAATAATTAGCCCTGGCTGCTATAGCTCAGTGGATTGAGTGGGGGCCTTTGAACCAGAGTATTGCAGTTCGATTCCCAGTCAGGGCACATGCCTGGGTTGCAGGCCAGTTCCCAGCAGGGGACACACAAGAGGCAACCATACACTATATTTCTCTCCCTCTCTCCTTCCCTTCCCCTCTAAAGATAAATAAATAAAATCTTTTAAAAAAATAATAAAATAAAAATAAAGTCAATAATTATCTTTCAATGAACGTATAAAGAGTCATTCATACACAAACTTGGAATTCTCTTTTTAGGTTGGTTAACTATTAAAATTTTGCTGTGGCCAGCCAGCACACTTCAGCTGCAAACAGCAGTTTTCTGATCCCGCTGGGTCACATGTAAAGCTTTCAGCAAATAGACAAGGGTGGCTGTGAGCTCATCGATTCACCAGTTTGGTATTTAATGGCCAGAACAGATCCATAGCACAATTTCTATGAGCTTCTCTTTAAATAAAACAAAGGATTACTTAAATCTCAGGTTTTTAAGCATGAACTCTTTAATGCTAAAGTCTCTATCTTCTTATCACAGTAGCCAGGACCACTATTATACAAATTTAAGCAATGTATCTGTAATATCTCGTTTTGAATTATTCATGTATCTCTTTAAATAGTTTATCCTCAGAATTTTATTTAGAAACTAAACACAGGTACTAAAGAGTATAGACTTATCAATTTGTAATGAAAATTTTGATTAACTGTCACATGACAGTTCGTTAAATGTGTATACTAATAGCATTATTCAGAGCTGGACTTTTACACTGTCTTTGATCAGTCTCAAAGTGTAATTTCCATGCAGGCTGTAAAAATGATCCTGTAACTGTTTTGGTTCAGTTATAAAAGCATTTGTAACAACTAGTTTCTTGAACTTGAGTACATACTGATATAACCAACACCAGAAAAGAATTTTGTCTCTTGTTCGAAAATCGCAGAGACTTAGAAAAGGAATAACATTATTTCAGTTGAGTCTTTGGCAGTGCACTTCATGGTCTATTTGTCACTGTTGTTTTATTTTAAATTTTGTCCCATCAATAAGACATTTAAGCTAAGAAAATTCAGGATTATCAGGACATATGAATCCAAATATAAGAAAACCTTCTTATTACTCTCTCATTAAAAATTTACACATTTTAAAAAGATATAAAAATGAGTTGATACTAGAAGATAAAACAGGATCATAAAAAATATTCAATTAGCCCTGACTGGTGTAGCTCAGTGGATTGAGCATGTGCCTGCAAAGCAAAGGATCATGGTTCGATTCCCAGTCAGGGCACATGCCTGGATTGCAGGCCAGTTCCCAGTAGGGGACGCATGAGAGGCAACCATACATTGACATTTCTCTCCCTCTCTCCTTCCCTTCCCCTCTAAAGATAAATAAATAAAATCTTTTTTAAAATTAAATTAATCCAAAAGCACACAGAAAAGAAAACTAGAATAAAGAACAAATAGAGCAAAGAGCAACTACCAAAATAACAAACAAACTTAAATCCAACCATTTCAAAAATCACATTAAATATAATAGCCTAAATCCAACAGTTAAAAGACCGATCTTCAAGTTGGATGTTCCTTAAAAAGCAAGACCCACCTATATGAAGAAGCCCACTTTTATTAAATATAAAAAAAGAAATGGAGGGGACATGGAGAAATTGGAACCCTCACAGAACTGCTGGTAGGAAGGGAAAATGGCACGGCCACCACAAAAACCAGTATGGCAGGTCCTCAAAGGCTAAAAACAGAATTATCATATGCTCCAGCTAAAGGAATTGAAAGCGGGGTCTCAGAGATATCTGTACACCCCCGTTCACAGCACCATTATTCACAAAAGTTAAATGTAGAAGCAACCCGAGAGTCCGTGGACAGATGAACGGACCAACAAAATCTGGTAGATACATACAATGAAATATTATTCAGCCTAAAAAAGGAAGGAAACTTTGCCACGCACTACAACATGCATAATAAACTTGGAAGACGTTATGCTAAGTGAGATAAGCCAGTCACAAGAAGACAAATACTAACTTAAAAAAACAA